GGAGGAGGTGGAGGAGGAGGAGGAGGAGAAGAAGAAGAAGGAGGAGGAGGAGGAGGAGGAGGAGGAAGAGATTCTGGAGAAGCAGAAAGAGAAGGAGCAGAAGGAGAAGGAGCAGGAGGAGTAGAAGGAGGAGGAGCAGAAGGAGAAGAAGGAGAAGAAGGAGCAGAGGGAGCAGAAGGAGGAGAAGGAGCAGAAGGAGCAGAAGGAGCAGAAGGAGCAGAAGGAGCAGAAGGAGCAGGAGGTGCAGGAGCAGGACGAGAAGCAGGAGGAGGAGAAGGAGAAGGAGAAGAAAGAGGAGAAGGAGCAGAAGGAGCAGAAGGAGGAGAAGAAGAAGGAGAAGAAGGAGGAGAAGAAGCAGAAGGAGAAGGAGAAGAAGGAGCAGAAGGAGAAGAAGGAGAAGAAGGAGCAGAAGGAGGAGAAGGAGCAGAAGGAGGAGAAGAAGGAGGAGGAGAAGAAGAAGAAGGAGAAGAAGGAGAAGAAGAAGAAGAAGAAGAAGAAGAAGAAGAAGAAGAAGAACAAGAACAAGAGGAAGAAGAACAAGACGAAGACGAAGAAGAAGAAGAAGAAGAAGAAGAAGAAGAAGAAGAAGAAGAAGAAGAATGAGGAGGAGGAGGAGAAGGAGGAGAAGGAGGAGAAGAAGAAGGAGGAGAAGAAGGAGAAGGAGGAGAACTTGAAGGAGAAGAAGAAGAAGAAGAAGAAGAAGAAGAAAAGGGTTAAGAGGATGTAGTGTAGCCAACTTTGATATGGGTTTTCTACACTTCCAGCACTTTGCGAATTCTTGAATTCTGTTGACCATCCCTTCGTACAGGATTTCTTTGAGTCTTCCTTCTGGGAGGGGTATTTATGGCATTCTCTTGAAATACGCAGATCAGTGCCTCTGTAGAGATTTGGAGAGCTAGTGATTCACGGGACGCTCGACCTGCTAGGGTTGAAGAGGCTCCTTCTCTCATCGTGTTCTGTATTGATTGTGCTTTTCATTGCTGCTGTAATGAGGGACACTGGACCCGGTTTCCAACACGTGCTGCTCCCCACCAATAGATGGAGCAATCGTACTCAAAAAAAAAAAAAAAAGGAGCTTCTGGCAATCGGAATCACCGGTCTGTATGCTTTCCAGATCAATCCCTCGAAGTCTGACTCAATGAGGTTGGCCATCCTGATGGTCATATGGAGGGCAGGTTGTGCATTCTAAAGAAATCAGCATACCTTTGGGTGGGGGGGGGAAGGGGGGGGACAATACGGACCAACCTAGTGAAGACGGCCAAAATACTGTGGGAGTAACTGCCGACTCTCCCTGAAAAGGGAACAACAAAGAATAGCCATACTATCCACAAGATCAATATCAATTGTTTCATGTCAAATTCATGATAATCCTGTCCACTCTATGAGTGCATCTATCCATACTCTTCCACTTGTCTTTGCCTGTTTTTTTTTTTTTTTTTTTTTTTTTTTTTTTTTTTTTTAAACGAGTCCAGTGCCCAAGGCTGGTATTACCAATAAGAAGATTGTGGGTTGAGGCCGGGGTCCTCACAGTCTGCCCGGAGTAACCGAACCAAACTTGCTGAGAACTGGGCTAAGAGTCCCTCATGTGGTGATGATGATGATCCTTGATGATGCTAATGATGATGATGATTAGTATCTATAAAGATTATAGAAGCATGTGCTATATCAGCAATTCTGGCCTCCTAATCCTATACCAACTCCTAGTCTTCCCTGTACCAGGACATTCTCTATTCTGTTAAAAGGGACGCTGGACCCGTTTTGCAGCAGGTGTTGCTCCCCACCAATAGATGAAGCCTCCCCAAAAGTACTAGAGGTGTCTGCTCCTATCAGCACCCCTAGTACTCACTAGTGTAAAGAACCCAGTCTGGCAGATACTCGTCAGACGTCACAGCACAAGTAGTCTCAGATCTGCACAAAGTCTCCAGTTAATGTGAAGTGATATCTGAAACAGTATCTCGTTATCAATAGACGAGAGGAGTGGAGGGACGAGAGACAGAGGAGAAGGTGGAAGAGATAAACAATGATCACACAAGTCTTAGAGCAATCCAATCAAACCCCACTTCTTCTCCAGGCTTCCTCTCGCCTCCAGGTCATCAACCAGTATACAATAACAAGTAGGATAAGTCCTGATCACCCTGAAGTGCCACGTGGCACTCTTATCTCGCGAAGACCATGAGGACGACGGCAGATTATGGTAATGACGTCGACCTCAGGTGAGTACCCGATCCCAATCATCCACAGATCCCGATCTCCCTCTGAGTCCTTGTCGCAACCAGTCACCTCATGTAGACAGCATGGCCAATGCCACGTCAGCTGTAGAGACAGGTGGCATGCGCCACATCATCAATGAAGACAGGTGGCAACGCCACATCAGCAATGTAGACAAGTGGCATGTGCCACATCAGCAATGTAGACCAGTGGCATGCGCCACATCAGCAATGTAGACCAGTGGCATGCGCCACACCAGCAATGTAGACCAGTGGCATGTGCCACATCAGCAATGCCTGGCGCACAAAACAGAAAGCGCCAGCATGCTGCGACAGCCCAGCGTCGTCGTCCGCAGTGCCTGCGCACAGCCAGCGTCAAGCCAGCGTCTCGCCAGCGTTGTGCCAGCGCCAATGCCAGCGTCCAGTCAAAGTCGAGCCAGCGTCCAAGCAGCATAGCAAGACGGAATGTTGACCACCTCGAGACCAGTCCCTTTGTCGTGTTTGACGAGGCTGTCTGGCCTCGGGTCCCCTCCCCACAGTCGTACAGATTGACTCACAGCGGAGGTCCTGGATGGTGTACAGCTGCAGATTTCCCCTTGGTCCTGATGCTGTCTGGGTTCCTGCATACAAACAAGTGTGTGCGTCTGACCCACTTTGGACTTTGACTGTTGGGTCCCGACAGTTGACTTTTGTCAACTTTGTCAACTGTACCTCGCTCAGGCCCCGAATCTTTAGCTGGGGTCTTTTTCCCCTTTTCGGCCTGGGCCTTGGTGTGGCCTGGCGAGGCCCTCAGTTTTTCCACCAGGCATACAACATGGGTTACTATTGCACTAGGGTTGTTTCAGAAAACAAATCTCAAAAAAAAAAAAAAAAAAAAAAAAAAAAAAAAAATCAAAAAAAAAAAAAAAAAAAAAAAAGTTTTGTAGAATTGCAATACAAACGACGTTTGTCTGAGGATCATATTAGAATTCCCCACAGAATCGAAAAAAAAAAAAAAAAAAAAAAAAAAAAAAAATCAATTCTCAATCTTCGCAGCTGCAGCCTCCAGAAGTTGGCCATCCTAGGCCTGTGTAATTTTAGTAGTTTTACCTGTAGTAGGTAGAAGGTTGGTGCTTTCGTAGTAGTACCTTTTTTTTTTTTTTTTTTTTTTCAACTTGCGGTGTATTCAAATAGTCCGATAACGAGGCCGGGAATCCGTCGATAACACAACCCGGAATGTACTGGGGCCATTACCAGTTTAGGCTGATGCTGGAAACCGGGTCCAGCGTCCCTTCTGTCGCAAGCTATGAAGGAGAAAGAAAGGATGCAACTTGACAGAAATTAGTATCCGGAAAACCAAACAGAGAGGTCAGCTATTTCTAAATCTCGCTTTCTAAAGGAGAAGTTTTTAGTGATGAATCTTCCGAATGCATTCGTTATGGGACGCTGGGCCCGGTTCCCAGTTTGTGCCAATTTGTGAGGTAATGGTTGTATCCATGGGACGCTGGACCCGGTTTCCAGCAGGTGTTGCTCCCCACCAATAGATGGAGCTGTTTTGTTTGGGGGAAAAAAAAAAAAAAGAAAAAAAAAAAAAAAAAAAAAGGAGAAGTCTTCCATAAAACTGACCCCTCCAGGGCTTTGAATTCGATCCTACCAGATTTTTCCTGGTAGAATCTAACACAGACCAGACAGTCTCAGCTTCTACCTGGAGACAGGGAGAGAAGTACATGATCAAAGACAGGACAACCAAGAAATACCGGACCTCCAAGACTGGAGAGAGGTAGCAGTTTTTTCAAGCAACTGCAGGGGAAGAGCACAGTACTCCGCCTTGATGCATGGCCAACCCAAGGCAGACTGGAGGATCGATGTGCAAAAAGTACTACTTTTTTTGGTTCAGCACTGGTATAGAATAGTAGCATAACAGACTAGAGAAGTGTTGGTTAGAATTTGAGATGGCAGCGTTTTATTAGTAGGCATACTCTGCATACTCTGTCGGGTGACAACTAAGCTAAACCGGCTGATGCTGCCAGGATAACTCCGGGTTGAATTGTGAGGTCCCCGGCCTCAAGGATTTGTGATGATTTGTAATCAACAGTATGATCGTTTTGTCAAAAAAAAAAAAAAAAAAAAAGGAAGTTGAGAGCTCCCGAACCAGGGGCGAGGTCCCACTAGCAAGGAGGATTGGATCAAGATCCTGAATGTGGATGTGTTTTATGCAGAGATGCAGAAAAGCAGTTCAATGGAATTGAACCCCAATTTTCTTCCCCTGGCCACAAATACGTCCAGATCCGGGTGTTGAATGCAATCCTCCTTGCGACTGGGACCTTGCCCCCTGACGAGCCCGCTCCAAATCTGAGCAAGAGAGGGAAGCTTGATGGGTCAACGAAGCAACATATGATATTATACAGATATTTATATGTATATAAATAAATGTATGTACATATATATACACATCTATGTATATGTATGTATATATATACTGAAAGAGAGCTGCCCGGTAAACCGTAGGCAGAGAGGGAGAAGAGGACAACAAACAAGGGGCTGTGACAAACTGTTTCGTCCGAGTTTCACAGAGAGAGAGAGAGAGAGAGAGAGAGAGAGAGAGAGAGAGAGAGAGAGCCCATTAGGAAATATAAACACTCGGACGCGTTGTATTCGGGAAATGGTTGTTCTTGTTGTACTGTAGAGCTCGGATGGGGACTCGACGGCTCCAGTCCTTGCGCGAGGTCCCTCTAACTGGTAGCAAAGAGGATTAGATTAAGAGCCTGAATCTGGATGTGTTTCACGTAGAGATGCAGAAAAGCCAGATCAACCCCGATACTCTGCACCTGTCCACGAACACGTGGAGATTCAGGCATTCAATCCAATCCTCTTGCGAGTGGGACCTTCCCCCTGAGATCTGAGCCCAGGAGCAATAACATGGTACAATCTTCTCCCCCCTTCCCCGCCAAAAAAAAAAAGAAATCCCATCACATCTCGCACGACCATCTGACCGTTGATGCTCTGCAATCTCCGGTTAGAGATAGAGCGATAATGCCCCTGGTTCCAAGGCGATGCCAACGCCGATGATCTGTACGGTACTCAGGATCGCAATCGACAAGTCCCCTGGGCCGAGGTCCCTCTAGCAAAGAGATGCAGAAAAGCAGTTCAATCTCGACTTTCTGCACCTCTCCACAAACAAGTCCAGATGCAGGTGTTCAATCCAACCCTCTTTGCTAGTGGGACCTCGCCCCTGGTTATTATTAATGAGTATTTTTATTAATATTATTTCCTTATTTATATCCAGTTTTTTAGTAGCATTTTTCTTTCCTTTTTCCCCCTTTTTCCCCCTTTTGCCCGCCCCCCCCGTTCTTTTCCCCTTTCATTTCTTTTCTTTTCTTTTCTTTTGGCCTTGGATTGCCGCCAGGGCCGTGGTCCCAATAGCAAAGAGCATCGGATTGAATTCCGGAATCTGGACGCGTTCGAGGACAGGAGCAGGAAATCGAGATCGAACAGCTTTTCTGTATCTCTGCATAAAACATGGCCAGATTCAGGATTTCTATCCTATCCCCTTTGCTAGTGGGACCACGCCCCAGGTAGTTTCATTGGC